AGAGAAAATGTTGGAGAAGAAGATGAAATGTGAAAACGGGTTTTCTGAGTTTCAGTGAGAAAGTGGATGCGTTAAATTGAATCCATGTGTGAATTTGTATTGTCAGGCAGTGTGTGTGATGACGTGGAGTTTCAATATTTTTAGATTATCTGGATTTGTTTGGTTGTTGGTGAGGAGGAACAAGATTACAAGAAGCAGCGTCAGCTAGTGTTGCGTGCTTCTGACTCAAAAGATTCCTTCATATGAGATATATATGATTCGCTTCGCTCGGGCATGTTTACTTATTAAGAATGGAGCAAGTCATAAATCGAGAAATTTAGTAATAGATAAATGAATTGAAGCATGTTTACTTATTAAGAACGGGGCAAGTCATGAATCGAGAAATTTAGTAATAGATAAATGAATTGAAGTAAGATCAAGTATTCCTTAGTTGATTTCATTTTATTTTTATTTTTAATACAAAAGGCGATAATGTTTTATTGATAAAGGAGAAATAAGTGAAGAAAAAAAAACGAGCTATATTCTAGAGATTAGACGAGCCTCTTTAAACATAAATGTTTGATTGGACTAATTTTAGTCATTAAGGTATGTATTTTAATGTAAAATTCACATAATTCCTTGGAATAATTTTAATACTATTAACTAATAAACACATAAGCAGAGATTAGAATTTATCCCTGATAAGTAAATATGCAAACCTAAATAGTGTACATTGCTAAGTGATTGGACTAAACTCAACACTTAAAAATTTCATGGTGATCAAGATCATGCTTTTTTGGTTCCATCATGATAATTATGATATAATAATATAATGCTTTAAAGTTGTCACAGTATATTATTAATAGACAATGGATTAGGTGAATATTCTGTAGGCACTACTTACCTTACCAATCTTCAATGATCAAGTCACAGCTCTTTTTGAATTCTAAGAAAAAAGAAAAAAAGTGTCGCTAAATGAACCTTAAAATTAATTGAGTACACCCTACTACCAAAGTATTTATTGAATTACTAATTTACCCTAATATAAAATGACCAAAAATGATATATGGAATTGTGAAACAAATATAATTTTAATAAGTACACCCTAGTCACCATATTCAACCCTAATCAAACGTAGACAAGTTTTCATATAATTTTAAGTGTCTTTAATGCTTCAAAGGCTTAGAGCTTCCTTACAAACACAGTGAAAGACAATTGTTGGTGTTTCTCCATGTACTTGATTCTTCCTTATGCAAAATATGGGCAGCCATATTTGAATGAAAAAGTTTCTTTCATCTGACTTCTTAGCTCAACATCATCCATACAATAAAGTTGTGGATGACTTTAAAATCCTAGAGTTTAAACTTTTCTTCTAACTTAGAAGCATCCAAAATTCTCTAGGATTTCGGACTGGTGATGATACATTTCACTAGTAATTTGATAGAGATGTTCGAATCCCCTCCATATATTTCAAAGAAAATCACAAATATTTACAAGAATCAAGCTTTGAATTGAAGGAGCTAGCAAATCTACTCCCACAATAGCTTACGAAATTAAATATTTTGATGCGAACCCAAAATTTGAAAAGAGGGCACGAATTCATATAAAAAGAGAAACTTGGTTTGAATTGGTATTAGGGTGTTGTGTGATAGAGTGTATTAGGGTGTACCAGGAGTATTTTTGGTAGTTAAAGAGGGTGTACTTAGTTAATTTAATATTTTAATCCAGGATTCGTTTAGCAGCTCTAAAAAAAGGTTGTATAAATTTGATTTATTTTAGTAAATCTCATTTCATGCTCATCGTTGCTTTCAAAATTTACCTTGTTAAAAATTTGTCACTCTAAACGATGGGACAAATGGTTAAGCAAATGCCTAGAAAACTTCAACATTTCAACAAGACAAAATTTACTTTGTGGAACCCTTCAGGAAAAATTGCCTTAATTTTTGACTCGTCCATTAGCAGATTTAAAATCTTGAGGTGACATATTGAAAAAGAAAACGAGTGGTGCAATTCAAGTGGTTGCCAAATATGCATATGCAATTATTCCTTTGTGCAAGATTTGGTAGAGAAGATGTAGATTAGGGAAGCATTTTTGCTTACCATTTTAACCCAAGGTGTACCATCATCGTCCTTCTAAATACTGAACACGTGTTCATTGACATAACCATGGTTCCACAAATACAAAGCAAATAGTTAACTATAGTTATGTCTATAGACATGTGTCAAGTGTTGAGAATGACGGTGAAGGTACACATTGGATTAAAGTGGTCACCAAAAATATTTCTATTGTAAAATGATTATTTACATTGTAATTAAACAAAGTATAAATTTATTTATTTATTGTCTGAAAACAAAGAAGTAATTAAACATAGAAAATTAGGTGTTTCCCCTTAAAATTATGTGGTTTTTTTATTTTTATTTGCAGCATGTACCTTTTTTTTTTCTTCTTTTGAGTGGAATCCAATTAAGCAAATTTTCTCAGGTAGTTGATGACTCAGATTACATAAATAATTTATTCCAAAAATGTCTATCATTATGATTAAGCTAGTTATTAGTGCATGATGACTAGACTAGTTATTTATCTTTGGCTAAAAGTCACTTTTGGTCTCTGTAGTTTGACACTTCAACCACTTTTGACCTTGTATTTCAATTTTGTCAATTTTGTCAATTTTGCCATTGTAGTTTCTTATTTGTCGCAATTCAAGGACATGTTAGTATTCTTGTCAATTTCTTTAACGATGCAAGGGGCAATTTCGTCAACCCAAAACCCTTGAGCATAAAAGCTTGTCTGAAATTCTCCCCATTTCATATTAGGGCTCGAAATTCAACCACTAATCCCAATTTTTGAAGAACCCTAAACCCAAATGACCAATTTCAAGCCCTAATATGAAATTAGGGGAGTTTCAGACGAGTTTTTAGATTTTGGGTTGATGCAATTGCCCCTTACATTGTCAAAGAAATTAATAGAAATACTAACTTGTCCTTGAATTGCTACAAATACGAAACTATATGGTCAAAATTGATGGAATTGAAACTATAGGATCAAAAGTGGTTAAAGTGCCAAATTACAGGGACCAAAAGTGACTTTTAGCCTTTATCTTTTACAATTCGGTGGGTTATGTTTGACACATATGGTGGAGTTTATAGCAATTTTTTTAATTTTTCTTTTACTACTTGATCATTAGTTGTTTTAAATTTCAAATTAATTTTGGTATATCCGTTGGGATTCAGGTGTCAGTTTTCCGATTTTTCAATCAAAATTTCAGATTTTATAACTGTTCTTGTTTGGAATTAATCCGGTAAAGGGGTACGGATTCTTGCTTCCCATAAATTGTTGTACTGTGTTCTTAATCCCTAAGAAAAGGCATGAAGGTTGATTTCTCATCAATTCCTTTCCGTGAACCAAACAGGGCTTTTGTCTGTAGCTGACTTCCAATTCCATGTATTACTTTTGGGTTAGGCAGTCTATTAAGGGTCCACAGGCTGAAAAAGATTAGTCCCCTTGATATACCTTCTAATATTCAGTTACACATTTTTCCAGACAAAATTGCACAAGGCTAAACAAGTGAAATAAACTACACTATGACCTGACGTTAGTATAGCATGAACAAAACATAGTCCGTCAAAGCCACCACAGACACAGCACGTGCATGACGAGGATTGGTGATTGGGAAATCACTTGAACTGTAAAGGCACTGGTATGGAGCTCACGAACATTGGACATGAAAGATCCATTCTCTAACATGGATATGCATGAGCCGATTACAAACTACCCACATTTATCACTCAACTTTGATGATTTTTCTTTTCCGTAATGGCTCTTCAATGATGCTTCCTGGGGCGCTATGCGCCTTCCTCTTCTCGTGTTTCTTTCTTCGAGATTCGGTCATCTCACGCAATGTTGCAGCTGCCTTGTACACTGGTTTTGGTAGGTGCCTATGCCTGCAGAATCATCATTCACAACGATTAACCATTTTATATGTCATATGCTACTCATTATTTGTTTCCAAGCCAAAAAAAAAAACAATTCATTATTTTATGAAGAGACTGAAATTAGCCATACAATCTTTGTAGGGTTCTGCAGAAACTGCATTAAATACGTAAGGTAATGCTTAGTTTAGGAACATCCAATGAATCAGGTTCACATGTTAAGATACAGGAACCGCTAATCTGCAAGCCCAACCTAAAATTATAACGAGTTGCAACCAGCTCATATATTATAGAGATTAATCTGGGAAGGGTCCTAAATACTTTAAAATTTTGCTACTTAAAAAAAAAAAGGGCAATGGTGGTTTTATACATGGAAGTTTATCAAAAGGGCATCTTTCTATGCTTATTACATCTGCCCGCAAAATCATCAAATACTCCAGCAATCTTTCATAGGAAACATGCAAAGATAATGGATCTTGTAATATCTCAATAGGAAATATATTGACAATAATTAATTTCTTTTTTCTAAAACAAAAGAGCAAATTTAAGAGGCTAATTGCTGGCATCCTTTTATCATACCTCACAATACGCTTGACTTCGGGAAGGTGCTTGTAGCGATTCTTGACAGCCTCATTATACTCATGCTTTTTCTGTACCCTTGGAAGAAGCTGCAGGTAACAAGTAGTTAAAAGTTTATAATAGGATGTCTAAAAGAAGGGATGTCGAAGAAGTTAATAGAAACCATTCAACTTGCAGTCACTAGTCTGTGTGTTTCAAGCCTACATCAGTTATAGTGTGCATGGTACCAATAAAATTCTTTGGTCAAACCATTTATGTATTTATTTCATCCATCCAAAAATAAAAACCCTTCAAAAATACTACGCCCAAAGAAGCAGTTCATATTTGCAACGTAATATACAAGAAGTAAATGAGTGAATTCCACATAGTTAAAGGAAGCAGAAGAAAGCCATATTGCAACCCAAGGTCAACAACAGAAACACGAGGAAAGGAAGAGATATCTGATGCTTTAGCCTTCCAAAGCCTGAGATTAGTGTCATCACTCCCAGAAATAACATAACTAGCATCACAGCTGAACTTGACACAAAACACCCTATATAAAAAGCAGGAAGAGGGAAACAAAAGAGTCAGAATAATGAAATTAGTCAACATAAAGCTAAAGTTTCCATTTTGTTATGTGAAACTCTGGAATCCAATGGCCGCATAGTTCAAGAAATGGAGCATGAAGTAATTGGCATATAAAAGCTAATTACATATGTTCAACAAATCCGAGAACCCAAATAAGGGAATACATGAAGACCAAACCTTTGCATTCTCTTTGTATGATAAATTTCCCGGCTATGACCACCATT